ATTCCAGCTAGCATCAACAACTAATTTTTTGATAAAAGTCCACAACAACATGGTTCTTAGATTTCGCCACTTAAACTAAGAAAGCCTAGTATTCATGCCAGGATAGAAAAATTTGGGTGTGAGCCTACTACACGCTATCATACATAACTAAGTCTTTTATGAGATTAGCTTGCCGATTACATACCCTTCAAATACTACGCCCCTTCCAATACTTAGTTAGGAATTTTGACTTTCAACATGACAAAACACAACTATCAACAATTCAATCATCAATATGCATTATCTCTAATCAATGTATAAAGAATTAGCACTATAGTTCAATAAATAACGTGTAACAAATTCATCTAATCTATACATGTTCAACACTTATGCAAGAAAACAACATATTTTCATTAAACAACACACATTTGATGCCACTCTCCTTATGCCTGGTGACATTGAGGTAGAAAGCCTTTGACTCACCCACACCCAATGTCGATCTACTCATGCGCAATGTGAATAAGGCAAAGAACCCCCATGATAATCATGTTTGGCATGGTTAAGCCTACACTAGATCCCATTTTAGACAGAAAGTCTTTCTCTAACTCATGCTAGATGTCACTAAACTAGCTTACAACATCATCTAAGCAAAGAACTTTTATCTTGATTACACAACGATGTGACCAAGTCAGAAAAATCTCCTCTAACTTTTACCCAACGCTACCAATCTCACGTCCAATGCTAGTGAGACAGAGAGCCTTTAACCTATGTCATGCCCAATGCCATGAAGTTGTGTCTGGCATGATGATGAATTCTTCACTTGGCAGATTCACTAGTTTTCTTCATCCACCTGAAACTTAAAAGATTCCAAGCATGCAATACAACATAAAAATACACACATATTAAATAACTCATATCCATCCTCAGAATCAACATGTAAGACCCAATTTGATCAAATAATCAATTTTCACCTCAACATGCTTCATGAACAACAAAACCCCAACCTGGATATTAAATTCTTAGAATTAGCCAACATAGCCATGATTTTGTCGAAATCAACCAACATACAACCCAATCAATCCAACAAGAACCAAAATTCTAGCTTCCCTTACTTCTAAGTCCACAAGAATTAGAGGAGAAGGAAAAAGATGATGATTTCTAAGCTAGTTCCACACCAACTCCAATTCTCAAATTTCAAAGCTTCCACTAGTGCAAAAATAGGCTTTTACGTCACCTAATTTACGTCGGAAACACGAAAACTCGACGTTATAAAAACGCGGTAGCAGTATCGTAAATATAAAGAGACTAATTTTCGTTGGACCCCCCTTGTCCGACGTAAATTAGCCTCTATATTTCCATGAAAGCGCCCAAGTCTTCATTTGATGGGGGAATCCGCTCCCGGCTCGCGAGGCGTCCCTCTCTGCACATTCCGTTCTGCAAAAGGTGTAGTAATTTCACGTTTTCACTACTGCTGAATTCTTCTTTCATCTCCATCCTTGTAGGGTCCTTCATAAAAATCAAATCTTAATACTTTTGTTCACTCTTACTTTATCATTTGGTTGTTATGTTACCACATTGTCTTGGAACGAATCCCTCTTTGTACCAACATTGCATATCTGCGCCTTTTGGAGCTCCACTCCACCTTTTGCTTGCGGCGCGGCTTTGGCTTCCACGACGACGACGGTACGTTTCCTTTTACCATGTACACTTAATTGCAAGTTCCCTTATTTTTCTTTTCCTTTTCCTTGTCTAACATGTACACTAATTGCATATTGGCGTGGAGCTGGCTCTGCATGTTTCTGCTTTCTGCTGCATCTGGAACGGGCCGTTCTGCTTGCACTCGTTATTTTTTTTTATAATTTTTTTACTACTTTTTATGTCGGACATAGTAATTCCGACGTAAATTTACGTCTCCCGCATTAACGTCGGAGCCTTTTCCGACGTAAAAGGCTCAAAATATGCGACGTAAAAGACCCATTTTGTACTAGTGTTCAAATCACCTCTCACCCACCAAAATCATTCTTAAGGGAAGGTAGAAGTAAATTTGAATACTCAAGGAGGTTAGAATAAGGAGAAAGAACCCTTCACAACATTTCTCTTTAGACTATCTCTCTAAGTTTCTTAAGAAATTAACTTATGAAACTCAAGTCTTAAAATAAACCTTATATAGTATATACCTCCTCCATATAGGCCAAACTTGAATTCTACTATGAGAAACTCCTAAACAACTAAAAACTCATAAGAGTTTTTGAATTACCAGTGTTTCTCAACAAATAAATAACAATCAACACAACAACATATATTTTAATACAATCAACAATAATTAATAAAATGCACAATGTTACATTATGTCATGCACTTAGTTTCAAATCATGACTAATGTTACAATTTTAATGATCAACGGGTGAACATTCAATGAGGGACAAAAATTATAATTTTATAAAATTGTAGGTTTAAAAATAGAAAGACCAAAATTATGAATTTGATATTATAAAGTGACCAAAACTACAATTTAGCCTTTTACTTTCCAAGAATCTAAAGTTGAGGTCGTTAGTTTCTCACGATTAGTTTATCATTTTGAAAATAACTTTCTTAGGGAAACATGATTTTCCAAAAATATTTTTTATATAAATTTTTCATAAAATTGTTCTCATAAGGTAGGTGAAAATTAAATATTCTCAAATTAAAAGAAATGTTTTATTATAATAAAAATACCAGTTTACCTTAATTTACTTAGTTGATGTAGAATAAATTTTTGATTCGCAGATAACATTTATAAAAATTTTAAAAATATTTATGATCAACCAAACATTTATCAATTTCAAGATTTTTTTATTAACAGGAATTAATATTTATAAACATGTCAAAAGGATTTATTATCGACCAAACATTTATATTTTCAGGAAATTTTTATTAACAGCAACTAAGATTCGAATGAAAAAATTGGAAAATATCTTGGGCTTAGGAGGGTCAAATGCATGAGAGATGATTGGAATCATAGATAGTGGGGTGGCTTAAAAAGTTGTGGGCATATCAACCTCATCCATACACGTACTAATTCGTTGGCGGCATTGGCAATGGTACTCTGGCAATCTATATATATCCGCATAATCCATGTTTTTACTGTGTTCTTTATGCACATGATATGATACCATACACATTTATATAGCAAATTGGTGGGATTATGTTTCATCAAAGGCTTTCTTGCTTAAGTTTGGACATGTCCACATATTGATGGCACTAAACAAGTTCATGCTTCATCAGCTGCTTTTTATATATCGCCACATATATATTTAGCTACTGCATCTTGGTAACTGTCTCCGAATTTTTATGCTAAAAACATATATATCAAAAAATTTAAATGCTAAAAAAATATATGTGACACTTTTTTTTTACAATCATATTATTGATAATATTCTTCAATTTTGTTGATTATTAAATTTTATCGAAAAATTTAACCGATGACCTTTAAATAAATCTTCTCACTAAATTGCACTTTTTCCATTTGTTTAGATCTTAACTTAAAATATGCAACAAGGGGAATGCTTTATCTCCTCAGCATTTTTATATGAAATCTATGTAGCACTTTTTTAACATAGTGTTCATGTTGTGACAAATTAACAAAGTTAAGTTTCTTCTCTTGTTTATCACCTGTGAATTGTATACCAATAATCTTTTTAGAATTAATCTCTGATGTCTTTTGTAAAGTTAAGTTAAGTTTCTTCTGTAAAGACTAATAATATTATTATTAAAAAAATCAACAAAGCTATTATATTAAAAAAAAAAATAGTCTTCTCCATAAAGTCAAAATTTTAAATTTACTAATAGAGATCATAAGTGTCAAATATATAATATTGTTTTAGAAATTCACAGTCACTAATTAAAACAACTATTGTTCCATAAGTGAAAAATACAAAGAATAAGACAATATAAATATATAATAATGAAAAAAATAGTAAATGTTTGAAACATTAACCTTACATTTGTATAATAGTAACATTTTAAAATTCTAAATTAACTTATTTTTGTTAAAAAATTATCATTAACTTATTCGAAGTCCGAAATCATAAAGTTTCCTAATATATACATAAATTGAAAGGGTATACATTTAACTTCTTTTATCGTTATATAATATTCTTTTTGACATCTTTTCTATGTTTTTAATATATCAGTCATCTTATCTTATACGTTTTCTTTTTCCTATCTCTTTCAATATTGTAAAAGACATGGTAAGATGTCTTAAAAATAGTATTACCTAACTTTCTATATAAAGAAAATTGTTCCAACAGTTACAAAGCTTAAAATCCCAAATACAGCACACAGCACCTGTGAGTGAATATATGATGACATGATTGTGAATGCCATGTTGAGCCAGCATTAATTGTTTATCTCAAACACACTGAAAATTCTGATTCTTGCACAGAACGGCACTGCTGGAAATAATGGCTAGCACAATATTTATTCGTTTTGAAATTCACATAAAATTCTTATTTCAATTATTGCAGTCTAGTTGATGTAACTAGCTTAATTATCTTAGAGGCTGAAGTACCAACCACATATAATCGACTATATTCCCCTTCCATTACATGCAAAATGAAATGATGCTAGAAATGAAACTTTGGCCAGATCCTGAAAGCCAATTTACCAATATGTAGGAATAGATGCTCTCCTATGAAGCCATATTAAAGGGGTCTATAGACTTATACTCTATATACCATCAACCAACCAGTCACAACTTTTGACACAAGCCAATCAATGTGGTGTCACAACAATCCCTCTTCCATGATAGTTTCTCTTAATCAAGTTTCTTGATTCAGTAATAATACTTTCTCTTAATCAAGTTTCTTGATTCAATAATTATAAGGTGCCTTAAAACACATGTTGACCTGATATTCTTAAAATTGAGTATTATCAATATTAAAATAATATTTAATCAGAAGAAATTATGTTCCATGAACACAAATTAATAATTAATTGTCAACTTTGAAGCATCGAATGTGGACCATGCATGTGGAAGAAAAACAAGAATAGCCTCCTGTCATTGACACCTCTCTGCTACCCTTTCAAGCAATCATCCAAACAAATTGACCCCATGGCAAAAGCAGTGGTGTTGGATGTATTTAACTGACAAGATTGTACAATAAGTACATGTGACCAAAGTTCACCCAAACACTTCAAACAACTATGAATTGAAGGTTTCCAAGTTCCAATATGAGAGAACAAGGGGTCCTTCATCTTGAGGATGCTGCTGGTCAGACAGAGAGGTCCCAGTGGGTGCTTGATTCTCCCAACCCACCCCCTCTTTGGAAGAAGCTATTTGGTTATGTCAAGGAAACCATTTTGCCTCATGGCAACAACTTCTGCTTCTCATCCAAGAAGAAAACTTCTCATGGACATGCAGCGTCATGCTTCAAGAGCTTGTTCCCAATCTTTAGTTGGATAAAAGATTATAAAGCCTCCAAGTTCAAAGATGACCTCTTAGCTGGATTAACTCTTGCCAGCCTCAGCATACCTCAGGTTTTTATTTATTTCACAGAAGTCTTTTTTTCTATTTTTATTTTTATTTTTTCAGTGCAATGCAGGAGAAATTTAAACATTACATAATTTACATTCCCCTAAAGATTGTCCCTTCATTCTTCTATTTTTCTTTTGAACCTTGCAGAGCATAGGATATGCTAATTTAGCAAAAGTTGGTCCTGAATATGGCCTGTGTAAGTATCTGCCTTTTTACACTGTTAATAATATATCACACTAGAAACTGGAATAGCCCTGAACAGGAAAAAGAAAGAAAAAAACTGATTTATTTTTTATCAGCATTTATTTTTTTGAATTTTACCATTTTGTTTTGTTTTGTTTTGATCTATTCAGATACCAGTGTTATTCCTCCTCTTATTTATGCAATGATGGGGAGCTCAAGAGAAATTGCAATTGGACCTGTAGCTGTAGTGTCAATGCTATTATCCTCTCTGGTCCCAAAAGTGGAAGATCCTGTTGCCAATCCTCATGCCTATAGAAATCTTGTCTTTACTGTGACATTCTTCACTGGAATTTTTCAAACTGCATTTGGCGTTTTCAGGTGGTTTCCTCGTCAGTTTGGGAAATTTCTTGTTAATTTTAGTTTTCTCAGTACAAGGGTCTGATTGATTTCTATTTTCTAAAACTGTTAGTTGTTTTCTTTTTTTTTTTTTTTTAAAGAAAAAAGAAACAAAGAAGCAGACATTCACACCAAAGTCCATGCCTCACCACATGTAGCACTACTCTAGTTGACTCATCGATGAGCTAGGACTAGAAAACAGAAGAAGAAAATGAAGAAAAAAAAATAAAATAAAAAATCTCCCGGTTTCTATTTTTTGGTTTTAAAACACTTGTTTTGGAAGCAATTTCAAAACTTAATACATGTTGAATGACAAATTGATTGCTGAATAACATGGAATTGTGTTAGAAAACAATTTTTGAAACCAAAAAAAAAAATGAGAAAGAAATAAAACAGCCCCTAATAAGTAGTTTTTCACTTTTCTTATCCTTCAACACTTGCAGGTTGGGTTTTCTTGTGGATTTTCTTTCACATGCTGCCTTAGTTGGATTCATGGCAGGTGCTGCTATCATTATTGGTCTTCAGCAGCTCAAAGGGTTACTGGGAATTAGTCACTTTACCTCCAAAACAGATGCAGTATCAGTGTTGGCATCTGTTTATAAGTCACTACATAATCAAATTGCTTCCGGAGAAAAAGTGAGTTGGTTTTGCTTTTTCCGATTCATTATCTGATGAAATCTATTTACACAGTTATTCTTAAATTTGAACCAATTAATTTTATAGCTAGCTCTTCTTGTTAATATCTGACATTAATTATTCTTTGTTTATTTGACAGTGGAACCCTCTGAATTTTGTCCTGGGGTGTTCATTCTTGATTTTCATTTTAATTACCCGTTTTATTGTAAGTACTTAAATTTCTGCTATTTACCTTCTTCTTTACCTCTTTGTTTAATTTTAACTTTTTATGATGTATCTCATTTCAGGGAAGAAGAAACAGAAAGCTTTTCTGGTTGCCTGCTATTTCTCCTCTTCTGTCAGTTATACTATCAACTTTGATTGTGTATTTGTCAAGAGCTGATAAGCATGGGGTTAACATAATAAAGCATGTCAAAGGAGGCCTAAATCCAAGTTCACTTCACCAGTTGCAATTCCATGGTCCACATGTTGGACAAGCAGCAAAAATTGGGTTGATTTGTGCAGTTATCGCGCTCACTGTATGTTACTTCATTTTATTTTATTTTTTTTAATTTTGGATGTATTTAGATAAATTTTTCTAGAAGCGCTTCTGATTGATAAAAATAGGAAGAAAAATTGAAATAAGTTTTTCCAAAACTAAAACTAGTTTATGCATAAATGAAAAATAAGATTTTAAAGAAGTTAATAGGAAAAAACTACAAATTAATTTATAAATAGAGATTTTTTTGATAACTTTTTCTAGAAACACTTCTAAAAGAGAAAAATAAGAGGAAAAATTGAAATAAGTTTTTTTATAAGCTAAAAATAATTTATACATAAATTAAAAATAAGATTTTGAAAAAGTTAATAAAAGAGTTTATGCAAATTCACTTATACATGAGTACATAACTAATTTTAATTTATGGAATTTATTTCATTTTTCTTTATACTTTTCTCCCCTAAAAGCATTTTTGAAAAAGTTTATTCAAACATACCCATAAACTAATTTTAGTTTATAGAGAAACTTATTTAATTTTTTCATTCTTAGAAGTTTACTTAATCAGACCCTTCTTCCAAATTACTATTTTTCGCCAAGTCTTGTGACCCTGATGACAATTTAATATTCTGATTCAGGAAGCAATAGCGGTTGGTCGATCTTTTGCTTCCATTAAGGGATATCATCTCGATGGGAACAAAGAAATGTTATCAATGGGATTCATGAACATTGCAGGCTCTTTAACCTCATGCTATGTGGCAACTGGTGATTTTCTTTTGCCAATAAATTATGAAATTAGTTTGCAAAGCTCTGTGTGTCAAAGTTGTTTATAGTATTTTGGTGAACAATTTCAGGTTCTTTCTCAAGGACTGCAGTGAATTTCAGTGCAGGGTGTCAAACAGCAGTGTCAAATATTGTGATGGCTGTTACAGTGTTTTTGTCTTTGGAATTGTTTACAAGGCTCTTATACTACACCCCTGTCCCTATCCTTGCCTCTATCATCCTCTCTGCTCTTCCTGGATTAATTGACTTAAGTGAGGCTCGTTATATCTGGAAGGTTGACAAATTGGACTTTCTTGCTTGTATTGGTGCTTTTCTTGGAGTCTTGTTTGCAACAGTAGAGATTGGTCTTCTTGTTGCAGTAAGTCATTGAACACTTCAAACTTTTTCATCTTTTGCACCAATTGAAATCACCTCTGAAATACACCATTTTTTTTCTCTTGAATGTTAGTTTTATTATTGTTATTATTATTTTACTATAATGTTATTTTTTCATTAGAGAGACATAGAACAAATTGAAAATGGGGCAAATGATTTGTGTCCTGGTAGCACACTAACTAGCAACTTGTGAGATGTATTCTAAAATGAAATTTGGGTGCGGTGTTTTTAGTATTATTCTCAATTCAAAATTTAGCAGAGACGCTTAATGATAACTTTTATCGCATTATTAAGATAATTATTATAAAAGTCATTTCTATTTGGATGACATTATCAATGCTGCATGAGTAGACCATAGTTTAAGAAACCTTTACACAACATATTCAAATTAGATTAATGTTTTTTAATGTGCAGGTGATAATCTCGTTTGCAAAGATACTAATACAATCAATTCGACCTGGAATAGAAGTTCTAGGTAGAGTTCCAAGAACAGAAGCCTTCTGTGATGTGACTCAATATCCCATGGCCATAAGCACTCCAGGCATCATAGTGATTCGCATAAGTTCTGGCTCACTCTGCTTTGCAAATGCTAATTTTGTCAGAGAAAGGCAAGCAATTTACAAATGATTTTCAGATCGAGGGGTTTAGCCCAAATTAGAACCATGTATGAATTTTTTCACTTGTTCCAGAATACTCAAGTGGGTCAGCCAAGATGAAGATGAGCTTAAAGAAACCACCAAGGGTCGAGTCCAAGCTGTAATTCTTGACATGACAAGTGAGTTTCTGTTAAATTTTTCAGATCAAAAGAATTTTAATGCCTAAACATTTATAAATTTGATACTATATATGCCAATGAGCCTTTGCAATTCTCTTTCATAGACCTGATGAATGTTGATACTTCCGGAATTCTAGCTCTTGAGGAACTGCACAAGAGGTTGCTTTCACGTGGTGTAGAAGTAAGGCTACTCTGAATTTGATTATATTCTTTGACATTAATATACACGGGATTAAATATGTTTTTACTAACAGCAAATAAGTGAATGGTGTTGTGTTTACTTTTAGTCCTCAAAAAATAACGGTCTCTTTTTTATTTCTCATTTGTGAAAACTTGTGATGTGTGGTCCAAATTTCTATAAATAAAAGAAGATAATTTTTTTTTAACATAAGACACATTTTTAAAAATGAAACACTAAAATAAGATGATCTTTTGTAGAAAGACTATAGATGAATATTTCATTATGTAAAAGTTTGTTTTTAATTCTTAAATTTTAAAATGTTGGTTTTTGGTTTTCTGTTTATTAAAATGTATAAAAAAAATTCTATTACTAATTTCGTTAATCCAATTTAACAGTGATGCTTAATTAGTTTCATTGTTTTTGAGTCTTTTAAATTAACATACGTGTATAACATGTTTGGTAATTAGATGTTACCGTTAAATTGAATTAACAAAATATGTGACTTGAATAAAATTTGATACATTTTAAAAAAAGGAAGAATCAAAAGCCAATGTTTTAAAAATGAGGGTCTAAAATTGAATTTTTATTTTAAAATGTACTAAAATTACCTTAAAAATATTTTTTTTAACCATTAAAATTTATTAAAAAAATTATAGGTTGATAGATAAAAATATTATCATGCTAATTTACACTTGAAAATGAAAAGAGAAAAATATATGTATGATTGATATATAATGTAATACAAAAGAGAGATAAAAAAAGTAATACATGATAATGAGTACTATTTATGATATTAGAGTATTTATATATAAGTGTTAAAAAAAATCTTGCTCTCCCTCAAGCCAAATATATTTAATCCTACTTTTTTGTATGCATGGTTGCTCAAAACTTTATGCTCTAACACTTGGTTTTTGCAGTTAGCGATGGTGAACCCGAGGTGGTTAGTAATTCACAAGCTTAAGCTGGCACACTTTGTAGAAAAAATTGGAAAAGAGTGGGTTTTCCTTACTGTTGGAGAAGCCGTAGACGCATGTCTCTCTTCCAAAATTGCTAAAGCTTGATTCATATATGATAACATGTGTCTGTGCACTGACTCTATATTGCACAGGGTTTGGGTTTTGTTTAAAATGTTGGTGCATAACATAAACTTACGTGAAACATTTTGTATTACACAAGCTGAACATCTTTACCGAAAAGTGATCATGTCATGCTGTATGCACCTGGGATGGGGGTTCATAACCACCTTTTTATACTATCTCAGTTTTGGACAGGGAGTGGTGTTTTCTTTTGTATGGCCACTTAAATACAATTCAAATAAAGATTTAGATGTAATTCATAATTTTAAAATTACTATATTTGATATATGTAAAATCAGCAAATTTTGGATTTTTGTTGTTGATTCTTGTAAAATATTTTCTTGATTTTCATTTTCTAAAATATGAAATTACTATGTTTTGGTTTCTAATGTTTATTTAGAGTAAATAAATGATATTTATTTTAGACATTTAGAATAAAAAAATTGAAGTGTTATGTACTAACATGGTATTGTATACTCTAATAATTGTTACTTGACTTTTTTTTAAACATATAATTTCATTATAATCAATGAGTAATTGAGCATCACTTGAAAGAAGGGTCCATAAAAAATTATTTAGATTTCTTGTGAAGAAAATTAGAGGGTTTTTTTTCTTATAAAGATCAAGATTAAAATTTCTAATTTTATATGAAAATTAAAAATATATTTAAACTTTTTATTAATATTTTTAACATACCATTAGTGTGTTTGGATTCTTAGATGAGAAATAATCAATTATTTTCAATAATAAAGGCAAAATAACAAATAGTTATTTTTACTTTTTTCATATTATCGTCATGATTTTGGTGATTATCTAAACACACTTATAATTAGGTCAAGTCTTAACACACTTATAATTGGCCAAGTCTTATACTTCTTTGAATTACATGTAGCCCATTGTGAATGATGGGACAAAAATTACAACACTAGTTAAATGAAAGTATGGAACAATGCCAACTTGAGAATAATTGAACAAATTTACAAAAATAAAATAAAATAAAATTGTGATTAATGGGAAAAGAAAAGGACACACCACAAATGCTAATGAGCCAAAAAGTTGTCAATTGCTAAAAGAATTCTATGAATAACCTAATAGATTCATAGTTGCCATAAGAAAGATAAGATTATAAAATAATTGGACCAATACATTTTTCAAGCTTTAAGATGTGACATAGCTTTACAAATTCATCAATAAATTACTCGTACTTGCAAATAATCCGTAGTTTTACGAGTACTGGTGACAATTATGCCTCTGAATTAATTAATTTTTCTAGAAAAAAGTCGTGAACAAAATAATTCATATATAATTACATTACACTTTTTTTTCTTCTACTGTCTAATTAATATTCAAAATATGCTCCAAAAAATTATTTAGTCATCTCATCGACAAAATAATTGAAATATAAACCAAATTTCTTGGTTTAAAGATATAGTGCATGTACTTTTATAAACTGGATCCATGTAAGTTGAATTGGGATAATTAAGTTATATATCCATGCAAGTAATAGTACCAAAATGAGTAAAATACCACAAGAACTATGCAATTTTATATTTGTGCTTAACAGAGGATAAGTTTCATCTAGTGGACCCTTAATGTTAACTAAAGTAAACATACAAACAATCCCGTCTTTGAGAATTTTGTTAAATAATGATAAAGAATCTAAAGAGAGTTGACATGAGAAGACCCCACACTTTTCAATTGAACATGTGATACCTTTGTATTTCTGGATCTGCATCAAGAATAACAGGATTCTCATTAAAAAAAACTTGAAGTTTTTTTGGCTCAAAATATAAGTAATCCTCGTATGTAACAATATAATTTTTTTTTTTCACAATAAAAGTGAATGAACTGCCAGGAATTTGTGTGTATTATTAACAATGGAAAAAAGAGAATTATGATACTAAAGAAAAGTTAAAAGAAAGAAACTGCTTATAATTACCGGTGGATTGTAGAAACAATCTAATGTGGGGGTCAACTGCATGGCCAAAAGTCTTATATATTGGGTCATAGTAAGCATTGCTGAAACTCACAAAAACATGACATAGGAATTAAAATGACATAAGATATTGCAAGGAAGAAAAGTTGAGGATTACATATATATGATTGGAGAACAATACCTCGTATATTCATTTTGCACATGATAAGGATTAGCATCAACATTATTGTCCAGATTTTGCATTCCTG